AATCAGTCAACAATACTTTCAGCCATGACTTATCAACCAAACGAAAATAGCACTTACCTTGTAGATCAGTACTAACCCGCTCTCCAAGCTAGGAATTGCGTCCACCAAAACAAAATTTCCTTCGCCCCGCATCCGCTTCGCACTAGTAGAACTAGGAAACGTGCTGGCGGAGGTTTGCTCCGGTTCAGCTACGATCACACACTGAACTCGCGGCCTCGCGCGTAGGCCGCCTGGTCAGGATGATGATAGACTACTGTGTGTCAGCAACCGGATAATAAAAAATAAAAAACGAGTACCATCAGTATTACTACATTGTCCAACAGCTCGTATACCTGTCAGTATTACAGTACTCCCTCGATCTAAATCATAAGTCATTCCAACCTTCTTAAAAGAGTTCAAGTATCAAGTTTGACCAAATTTATATAATAAAATAAAAAAATTATGATATCAAATAAGTATCATTAAATTTTCATTAATTATAATTTTATGGTTTACCTATTTAATGTTATAAATCTTTATAATTCTCTTTATAATTTTGGTTAAACTTGAGATATTATGACTCTCCAAGAAAGTTAGAATAGTTTATATTTGGAATAGAGAGAGTATTTATGTAGTTTAGTAAAAAGGGCCGATGTTGTGTGTGCCTCGTTTTCACTAGTGAACGGTGCCATAGATTTGGCGGGTGGTTGAACAAAGTCCTATTTGGCATGGTTTTAAACAACTCTAAATGGTGTTTGGTTCGCGAAGATGTAACGTTATCTGAATATAGAGGATAATGGAAAGCCATACTCATAGTTCCTTCATTGTTTTCTTAGTTTGTTTTGAAAATAGAGATAAAAACGATTTCTTGTTGCAATGCACAAAGGAGCCGAAGCCACAACTAGCCAAAGCTCTACCTGGCCTAAATATACTTCTTTAAAACTAAAAATATTTATTATATTTTACTTTGTATGGTCTTTGTTATATGTCTTTGATCATTGATTTTTAGAACATTTCTTAAAATCTTTCAAATCTATGAGATTTTGCAAATATTTATAAGCAAATCATACATATAACTTATATTATATTTCTAAAATGAAAATTCCTCCTTCTAACTTTTTACCTGACTAATTAGTTGTCTTTGAGTCAAATATTTCTAGATTTGACCATTAAAAAATTGTATAGGTTATCAATATGAGGTTTATGTTTTTAGATTCACTATAATTTCATACTCCCTATCAACACGAGGGAGTATATATATATATATACACACACACTATGTCTAGAAGTCTAGATACATAGTAATAGCTATGTATCTTAAAAAGCCACATCAACTTACAATTTGTAATGGAGGGAGTATGAAATTATTACTCATAGTGAATCTAAAAACATAAACCTCATGTTGATAACCTATACAATTTTTTAATGGTCAAATCTAGAAATATTTGACTCAAGACAACTAATTAGTCAGTTAAAAAGTTAGAAGGAGGAATTTTCATTTTAGAAATATAATATATATATATATATATAACTACTACTCTGTAGTTGGCTATAAAATAACTTATTTTGTAGCCACTTTGAGTTATGATAATTATTATGCTAATTTATATGATTATAGTAACTCCTTGCTAAGTGGTTTACTATAATGTTACGGTAAATATCCCCATGTGTTATAGTAACATAATTATTGTAAATATGTATTCACTTTATCGTAAAATAAGTATAAAAATTATCATAAATGGAGATGGCTACAGAATAACTTATTCTATAGCTAGCTACTGAATATACTCTCCATATAATAATAATAATAATAATAATAATAATAATAATAATAATAATAATAATAATAATAATAATAATAATAATAATAATAATAATAATAATAATAAGCTATGTGTTTAGAAAAGTAAAAAAACGATGTACCTAGTGCAGAGAGTTTCTGCTCAACTTATAGTTTGAAATAGATGGTGTAATACTACATGGATTTTTTAAGTTGGTGGTAAAAGTTAGAAATATTATAGAAAGCTTATTCCATCCATTTCTAAATTATAAGATGTTTTTAGTTTTTAGATATATACTTTTGCTACACATTTAGATGTACACTATGTGTCTAGGTATATATAATAATAATAAATCAATGTATATAGAAAAGCTAAAAGTCTCATAATTTATGATGGAGGGAGTATTTATATTAATTTTTTTATTTAATTAACAAACCTTGTAATAAATTATATGTTTTTATGACCGCAGTATTTCTAAAAAGATTGATAACACAAGAACCCATTACTTCTCCTTAAACAGAGAGTGACTTTGGAGTTCGTCGCAATGCTCATCACCTCGTTGGTTGTGATACAGGATAATTCAGGGGAAAGCTAGCTAGACATTCACAGAGTTTACATTAAGTTGCTCGTGGCTTTAGTTTTTGGAAGAAGGCTCGTCATTCTCATTTATGGTCCAAAGTGTACCAGGTAGCAAGAGGGATGGTGGTTAGGTAGCATACAAATTTTGGCAGTAGGGGTGTCGTCCGGAGAAGGATTATGGTCCGATGAAAATGGGGACAAGCAGGGAGAAACGAACATAGATAAAAGAAAGGAAACAAATGTTTGTTTGGCAACTCCTAGATAGGGGTGGTCATAATTACCTAAAATAAAAGATCGAACCAAATTAATCGAGACTGAAACAGAATACTTCATTAATTTGATCATCGTTTCTAACTAATCATGTTTATTTCAGGTAATTTGGTCTTAGTCCTTGGTTAACCGAACTAACCAAAATTGTTGTTATTTGCATGATGAACTCTTATTATGTTTAAACCTTGAACAATTCAAGATTTATGTCAAGTTGCAATAAATATATTGGTATTAGTGTTATACATTTTTTGCGTTTGTCTTATCATATTTTATACTATTCAAACATGCTTTGAAAAAGGAAAATTGATGCCAAAATTTATCGTTATAACATGTCTTAAAACTATTTGGTTAATTCGGTGTTGACTTGAGATCGAACCGAATTATTTGATTTGCAATAGTTTGTAACGTATTTCATCCTTATTTTCTTGGATGACCGAAATCTTGAAAAAGGCAAACCAAATTCATAGATCAGATCCAACACCCACCCCTAGTCCTAGAGTAGGCTAATTCCATAAAGAGCTATGTCAGATGATATTTTGTAGAGGTGATTCCAAAATGAACTACGGCGTGTTTGGCTGTCGCCAGAGTCGCTGCCGCCACAGCTCAGGGCGCGCCGCAAGTGCGGCGAGCAAACGGCCGCCCAAGATTTGGCTTGCTGCGGCGCGCGACTAAAACTACCGGTTGCGGTGCACACAAAAAACGCAGCAAACTGTGGCGGCAGTGTTTGGCTCCCGCGGCGTGCCACATGTGCGGCGTAGCGGCCTGCGGCGTGGTTTGGAAGCCATCCAAACACACCACTAGGAGTTATGGGAAGGAAAAACTAGCTTTCACATGAATCATTTCTCACATAGAACTGTTCCTCTACTGAGTTTATTATAGAGTATCGCTTCTATTAAACAATGGTTTCCGTGGAAGAGGAGTAGGTGAGATATCACATAGAATGTGAACACTTGTGTGCATCGATACTTCCATCAAGCAATTGTATTAAAGACTAGCATAGATAATATTTTCATGGAGTCTAGTTGCAAGGGTGTGAGGATCGTAAGCGCTCGTGGCAGGGCTTTGCCAAAGTTCGAAGGCTGCAACGATGGAGCTCTTTGCGTTTTTCGGATGACTTTGATATTTAGAATTGGGTTTTGTGTTAATTTTGTTATTACTTACTTTGCTTTGAGGTGATGAATGAATTATAGTACATTGGATGGATTTTTCTTCAATAATGGCTCTGTTCGTTTAACCTTATTCATAACTATTTTTCAGCGATGAAATAATATTTTTCTCTCATAACATTTTAACATAAGTCAAATTTCAGCAACAGCGAACAAGGTGAATAAGTGAATTTGGACACTTCTTTCCAGGCACATACAAGCTATTTGGTCCGTCATCCCCAACTCAAGCAAAACCTAGCGCAGCGCTAAGGATAGACAGCCATATACGTGTGCATACGAGGAACTATTTGTATTTGCAGCAAAGTTCTGTACGTATACACATCCTTCTGTGAGTGACTCACGCAAGACGAGACAGAAAAATTGTCAGTGTATTTCTTTCCAAAAGGAAAATGGGAAATAGGCCCACACGCGCGCGCGCGACGGCGCACCTTCTCGCCCTCTCGGTCGTTAGGTTAACCCGCAATGCGAGACGGGCCGCCTGTCCGGCGCGGTTCACGCCCACTGACATGCGGGCCTCGGATGGCTAATCCTGTCCTGACCCCTCTAATCCCCGGGTAATCGCCCAGACCGCCACGCCGCCCAGTCCAGGAATTCCAAGTCGCGGGCCGGGCAGGGGTGGTATCCGCACCCGCTGCCGCCCTGCCGGTGTGCGTGTAAGCGTGTTCGTGTTACCCACAGCAGAAGCCAAGCCTCCCCAACGCGGTGAGCTCACCGCCTTGTAACCACGCCTGACCCTAGCCGAGCCCATCCCCGCCGTCCACGTGGCCCTTATCTCGGATCCGGCGGCGTCGGGCGGCGCAACAACGGCCGCGGGCCGCGTCCCCTCCGCGATATGTTTACTTAGCGGAGCCCTCACCCCCGTTCCAGCCCCCGAGCCGTTCCCTTTCATTTCGTCTCTCCGCCTCGCCTCGCTCCCTTTTCTCGTCAGGCGTTCCCCCCCACCCCTCCCTCCCTCCCCTCCCCTGGCGATTAGCTCCCACCCGCCTCCCGCCTCCCGCCCACCGCGCTGCTCGCCGTGCTGTTCCCGGCGCTGCGTCCAGCGGCGCCTCGAGGGTTGGAGGGTGCTCGTGGCCGGCAGATCCGGCGTCGGCGGCGGCGGGCAGGCTCGGAGGCGAGATCGGCGGCGGAGCGCGCGAGGTGGTGGTCGAGGGAGGAAATCGGTCGCGCGCCGAGGCCAGGAGGAGGCTGACGAGGAGGCCGAGCTCACCTGGTGCTGCATGGGGGCATGAAGCGCGGCGCCAGGGACGACGCGCTCATGGGGTCACAGCTCAAACGCCCCAACGTTGCCCGATCCGATCCGTGAGTCCTCGCCTCGCCTCTCCGGCCCGTCTCGCTCCGGTTCCTCGCCGCCGCCGCGCTCACTTCCGTTTCTATGTTTGTCTTTGTTGCCTTCCATTCTCGGTGTTGGGGTTTCCTCGCTTCTCGATGGAGTCGCCGAGGAACCGGTCGTATTTGAATCTGCTCGACCACTTCGTGGTTTCGCTTGAATTTGTTTGGTTTTTTTTTTGCTGAATTCGCTTTCTTCCGCCCCAATTTCAAGTATAGCATGTGAAAATGTTTTTTTGGTTTTTTTTCTCCTTATACGGTTTTATCATGTGATCCAACGGTCCGGTTTTTTTTGTGTGTCGCAGGTCGGCTCAGCCACAGCATATGCCCGGGCCCGGTTCAGCGTCTGCGGCCGCACCGCCGCCTCAGGCTGGTGCTGCTCCGCCGGCGCAGCCGCAGCAGCCGTCCGGTGCTGCCTTGACCAACCAGAAGCTGACGACAAACGATGCGCTCGTCTACCTTAAGGCAGTTAAGGATAAGTTCCAGGACAAGCGCGAGAAGTACGAGGAGTTCCTCGAGGTCATGCGCGACTTCAAGAGCGAGAGGTCCGTCCATGCTGCCGGCGCTTTGGTCAATCTGATCCATACCGTTTCCAATGTTTCCCGTGGAGCAAAAAATATTGGCTTTCCGCTTTCCTTTTCTACTCGATACTATTGTGTAGCTCTGTTGGATGCAGGATCGACACCAATGGAGTGATTATCCGTGTCAAAACGCTGTTCAATGGGTACCCTGAACTGATCCTTGGGTTCAACGCCTTCTTGCCTAAGGGCTATGCGATCAAGCTACAAGAAGAGAAGAAGCCTGTTGATTTTGTGGAAGCTATCAATTTCGTGAACAAGATAAAGGTATAAATAGCCCAGGTTGATCTATCGTGCACCAAAGGTGTGATATGTAGCAAACTGGTGATTTATTGCACGTTTTTTCCTTTCACAGAATCGGTTTCAGCATGATGAACAAGTTTACAAGGCATTCTTGGACATCCTCAACATGTACCGCAAGGATAATAAGTCTATCCAAGATGTTTACCAGGAGGTTCTATTTTCTCTTACTGGTTTGGCCATCTATGTCTACGCTCGTGCTAAATTTCTGTGTTTTCTTGTATTTTTGGGCAGGTTGCTTTGCTGTTCACTGAACATAAAGATTTGCTTGAAGAGTTCCAGCACTTTCTGCCTGATACCTCAGTGGCCCCACAAGCAGCGGCCTCAAGGGGTGGTTTGGTTAAGCGGGAGGACAGGGGCTCTTTAGTGCCTCCTGCAAATAGGACCCTTCACAATGATAAGGTACAAATGACTTGTAGTTTTGCAGGCTCCACTTAATTTCAATTTAAACAATAGTTAAATAGCTTGCATGAAGTAGGATCATGCAGTACTATACTCCTTTTTCTAGGCATCTCTTATTCTTAAAAGATAGCTGACATGCCATTTTTCTCTCTCATTCTTCAGAGGGACAGACCTTATCTGTCACATGCTGAACGTGATTTTAGTGTTGACCGTCCTGACGTGGAGCATGATCGCCAGAGAAGACGTCTTGATAAAGAGAAAGAACGGAAGGTGGAAAGGGATAGAAGGGATTATGAGAGAGAAGACAAGGATGGTGAACATGACAGCAGAGATCTGGAGATAGGACAGCGTAAGCGAAAGCCTTTTCCAAGGAAGATGGAGGATAATGCAGGTGCTGAGGCACACCAAGGAGGCCCCAGTGAGAATCATGGAATCCATAGTGTATCTGCTTCATCATATGACGATAAGGATGCGCTGAAGAGTAAGTCTTTTGGAATATTACACTAGTAATTGCACATCATTTCTTCGCTTTGCTCAGTATGTTATGCAAGATACTACACCATCCTTGAAAGTTAAAATGTGATTTGGGTGTGGGATGACCTTAAACAATACTGACTTTTTGATATTAAGAAACAACACCATCCTTGATAGTTAAAAAATGTGATTTGTGTGCTGCAGAACCTTAAAATAATCTGGATCATAGATGTTAAGAAATGATGCATAGACGTATTTGTTACTACTATGTGGCTGAATTGAGGTTGTTTTAGTACCATTTATTCCTTTTCTGTAAAACCTTGCTCTGGCATTTCAAATACGTAAGATGTCGTGCATTTTGATCGAGAAGTAATGCACAAACATGCTTACTATTGGAGTGTTTATGCTCTCAGGTCAGCTGGTTTCTTTCATATGCTGTAGAACTTGTTTGCTTTCCACTTTTTGGTTACTTAGTATGTGGTCAAATCTTTTTTTGCTGTAAAGTGCCATTAGTATCTACAGTTGGAGAAATTTGTTTGCTCTCTGTTTGTTGGTTATGCCCATGCTTTCTCTTGCAATGTTAGGTGTATACACGCATGAGTTCCATTTCTGTGAGAAGGTGAAGGAAAAGCTGGAGCATGAAGCTTACCAAGAGTTTTTGAAATGTCTACACATCTACAGCCAAGAGATTATCACGCGAAGTGAACTGAAGAACTTGGTTGGTTTCTTGTTTGTTTATTTTATTTTATGATCCATGCTTAATGTTTGAATTTTTTCATATTATTACTCACTTCAGTTATAATATGTCTAAGTATCTGTGCAAATTTACTTGCCACAAAGTGAATCATGAATAATTTACATTGATTTGCAGGTGAATGATATACTCCAGCATTATCCAGATCTCATGGAAGGGTTTAACGAATTCTTGGAGCATTGTGAAAATATAGGTAATTTACATACTTTATACATTTGGATGGTAATCACATAATATTTCCTTTGTCCAAGTTTCATGGTTTTAACTAGTTTTTGCCCCTTGTCGCAGATGGATTTCTTGCCGGTGTCTTCAACAAAAGTATGTGGCTACTAGATTCAAGCTTTGCTTAACAATTTCTTAATGCTTTCAAAATATCATATTCACATTGATTATCTAATATGAAGGGCCAACCGCGAGGGTTGTTAAAACTGAGGATAAAGAAAAGGATAGAGATCGGGACAGGGAGGACAGGGATAGAGATCGGGAAAAGGAAAGAGAAAAGGAACGAGAAAGGCTCGATAAAGGATCTACATTCAATTCAAAGGAAGGTTCTAGTCACAAACCTCCTATGTTCTCTGGCAAAGAGAAGTACAACCTATCCAAACCAATATCAGAGCTTGATCTCTCAAACTGTCAACGCTGCACTCCGAGTTACCGGCTTCTACCTAAAAATGTAAGCTGATTCATATCATGTAGTTCTTTGTGTACCGTGTTTCATATAACATTTGGCTCAATCATGTTTTCAGTATCCCATGCCCCCGGCCAGCAACAGGACTGATCTTGGAGCCTCTGTTCTGAATGATCACTGGGTGTCAGTGACATCAGGAAGTGAAGATTATTCATTTAAGCACATGCGGAAGAATCAGTACGAGGAAAGCTTATTTCGATGCGAGGATGACAGGTGCTTATTTATCTTGGTTATACATATGGCATTGGGCATTAAGAGTCAATAGTTGTGGGCATATGAACTTCAATGAGAACAATCTTCCACCATTCATGTTACTAAGGGCTTGTAGAGCTACCACCAATATTCAGTGTCATGTTGTTGGCCAGTGTTTACCTTATGTGAATACTGCAATAGTATTGGAGCTAAACTTAGATTTGTTTGAAAGAAAATAAAAATAAAAAAACCATTTGCTAAACTGCTTGTGCACATTTGATTAGTCAATGTTATATCTGTTGTCCATTTTTTTAAATCCTCTTTAAACAGCATGCGAAGCATAGTAAATTGTGCTCTCTCAGGGGGGTTGACAGATTTCGTGGAGCTGGGTTTTGGTAGCTTCGTTGAAAGCATTTAGATGAGTTATTTTATCAATAGTTTGGACCAAATATAAGCATTTAAAGCTCTTTCATTGAGTCTACAAACAACAGATCCAAACTGCCCTTAGTGTTAAGAAATAGTTTATGTTACATGCCATATTTTCCAAGCCTAGTGTGCTTTTATTTCATGCATTGCATGCTTTTGTTGTTGGACCATTTTGAATTGGGTATTTGTCGATGTGCTACATCTTTCCTCTTTTTTCGGTTACCTTTTTTTTTAATAGAATATCATTACTTGTGTGCTTCAAGTGAATGTTGTAAACCATTAAGCACATAAAGAATCAGTGCTAGCAGAAATCTGTATTTCTTGGTCTAGTTGATTCTCAGAATGATATTGGTTGCTTGTGATCAAAGTTGAAATCAGTTTCTCCTGCACTTATGTATGAGTTGTGCAGTTGAACTCTAGCAGTTAGGGTGGATAACAAACCAACTGCACTTTTTTTGAGCTTTTTTCGAAATTGACATAATCTTATTTATCATGATGTCCTAAATTGTTTGAGACCCAACTTCAAACTGAGCTGAATGAGCCGAGCCGAAGTTGAAAGTCATTCAAATTCAGTTCATTTTTATTCTAAAAGAAAAATGAGTTCTATTGGAGCAGTTTTGAAATGAGCCACTGAGCCGGCTCAATGAGTTTTTTGTCCAGCCCCGCTAGCAGTTGTGCTACTGAAGTTTTATGTCTTAATGATGCGTTCGTGTAAAACTTGAATAGATGAAGAACATAACCCATGTTAACATATCTAGAGGTACTGCATGTGTTATGTGTGCACATATTGTCTTATTACCTATAATTATGCCATCTAACCTGCAAAGACTCAAAACCAGATTACTAAAACGCTGTGGTACTACTGTAATGAGCTGGTGACTACCGATTTTTTCCGTGCTAACCAGTATCATTTGTTTTTGTTCGTGACTGATTGATATTGTTTGTTCTTTATAACCTATACATGTGATGCTTACGTTGATTCAATACATGCTGGTTGGAACTTATTCTTAAAATTTCAGGTTTGAGTTGGATATGCTGTTGGAATCAGTTAATGCAGCGACTAAGCGTGTTGAAGAGCTGATAGAAAAGATGCAAGACAACTCAGTCAAACCTGAGAGCCCAATACGCATCGATGAGCATTTAACTCGTAAGTATTTGTTCAGGCATAAGTTAAATATTTGAGGATACTTGAACTGAATGGACTTTGACTGTTACTGTTGGTTGATAACATTTTCAGCATTGAACCTGAGGTGCATTGAGCGACTGTACGGTGATCATGGTCTGGATGTGATGGATGTTCTACGCAAAAATGCTAGTGTTGCATTGCCAGTTATTCTAACTAGGCTCAAACAGAAGCAGGAGGAGTGGTCAAGGTGTCGATCAGACTTCAACAAAGTTTGGGCTGAAATATATGCCAAGAATTATCACAAGTCACTTGACCATCGTAGTTTCTATTTCAAGCAGCAAGATACGAAGAACCTGAGCACAAAGTGTATGTAGAAGTAAAACTTTAATTACATGTGAATGTTTCTTCTGGTTGTAGTTGCACCGTTGCCTGGTCGCTAAACTATACTATTTATTCCTTGTGTAGCTCTCCTGACGGAGATAAAAGAAATTAATGAGAAGAAAAGGAAGGGAGATGACGTGCTCCTTGCCATTGCTGCTGGAAATAGGCGGCCTATAGTTCCCAATATGTCATTCGAGTATGTAGACTCGGAAATCCATGAAGATCTACATAAGATCATTAAGTACTCCTGTGGCGAAGTCTGCAACTCTTCAGATCAATTAGATAAAGTGATGAGAATATGGACAACTTTTCTGGAGCCAATTTTGGGTGTTCAGCGAAAACATGGGTCTGAGGATCCTGACCTAGTTAAGCCGAAGAGCCGAACAACAAAATCGGGTCTTGCAAATGTGGGAGAAAGCAATACCGGAGCTGGGATTGTCTCCAAGCAAAGCAACGGTGATGAAAGTGAACAAGGGCCGTCATCTCGGGCTAGATTAGCAAATGGAGTTGCAGCCGACACTCAAAATGGTTTCCATGATGCAGATCGAACTGCCCGTAGAGGTGAAGAACCATCAAACGCTATACTAAATGGAAGAGTGCATGGTGCTATCTCTGCAGATGAAACACCTTCCCTGAGCACACAAAACATTGCTTCTACTGAGCGATCAGCAGAAAATGCAGCTGTTGTTAGGACTGAACAACATAAGGCAAATTCGGAACTTACGCCAGGTTTGTTCTGCTGCTTCAATATTCTTTGTGCCCAAAACATGTTGATTAGTTTTTTTTTTAAGTCGGCAGCCCCTACCTATTTTTTTTTATTAACCCAGCCCAGAAATTCATCCCCCCAAGGATTCGAACCTGGCCCGCTGGGGTGCTACTAAGGAGCTCCAACCACTAGGCTGGAGGCCTGTTTGCTGTTGATTGCGTTTCATATTGCTAGTTCTTATATCTGAAATAATTTGTAGGCGTGAATGCTTCTAGAAGTTTTCATGATGCAGTTGAGGCAGCTGGTGAAGGCAAGACTGGCAATGAAACATTACTTTCTGCCGAGGTACAAGATTAAACTTTGAGCTATGTACAAAAGTTGGATATTTAATATTTATGTAATATGTACATTAAATTCTTTCCAAAGAAAAGCATCCAGCAAATTCATTGAGCCATATTTCTATTTTTTCTTTGGCAGGGAGGGGAGACGGGGAGGTTGGGACCATCTTTAAATGGCACCAGCGAGGGAATTAAAGGGCGCCTAAATAATGATGGTTCTGCACCCCATACTTCAAAAGTCGAAAGAGAAGAGGGTGAATTGTCGCCAAATGGAGATTTTGAAGAGGACCATTTTGTTCCTTTCGAAGATGGAACATCTAAAGGAAAGGAAGGTTCTACAAGCAGATCGTTCCAGGGTAGGCCTGGGGAAGTGGTACCATCTTCTGCTGAGGCAGCTGGTGAGAATGATGCTGATGCTGATGATGAGGGTGAGGAAAGTGCTCAGAGGTCTACTGAGGACAGTGAAAATGCTTCAGAGGCGGGTGAAGATGCATCGGGCAGTGAATCTGGTGATGGTGAGGAATGTTCTCGTGAAGATCATGATGAGGAAGAGGAGGATATGGATCATGATGATCAGGATACAAAAGCTGAAAGTGAGGGTGAGGCAGAAGGAACAACTGAGACACATGATGTGGAAGGAGGAATATCACTACCACTTTCAGAACGCTTTCTGTACTCAGTTAAACCACTTGCCAAGCATGTACCTACAGCTTTACATGATCGAGAGGAGAAGTTCTCACGTATATTTTATGGAAACGATTCATTTTATGTCTTGTTCAGACTACATCAGGTCAGGTTTCAAGGACCTTTTGTTTTATATCTCTGCATTCACTTTCTTTTTGCTAAATAAATGTCTATTGCAGATCTTATACGAGAGACTACTTTCAGCAAAAACCAACTCTTTCACTGCTGAAAAGAAATGGAGGAATTCCAAGGATACAAACCCTCCTGATCTATATGCAAAGTAATATTTGCATTCCTGCAGTGTTAACAATGCATCATATCCGTATATGATGAATAACTGATCTGTCTTTCCTATGAAGGTTTATGAGTGCGCTGTACAACTTGCTTGATGGTTCTTCTGACAACACCAAATTTGAGGATGACTGTCGAGCTATTATTGGGACTCAATCATATGTTCTCTTTACTTTAGATAAACTGATTTATAAAGTTGTGAAGCAGGTAAATTGCTTTACCCCTTTGTACTGTCCACTTTGTTTTTTGGGCCTGGATGACACATTCATTATTCAACTTCCTGATGCCAGCTTCAAGCTATAGCAACAGATGAAATGGACAATAAGCTTCTGCAGCTATATTTATATGAAAAATCAAGATCTCCTGGGAGGTTCTTTGACCTAGTTTATCATGAAAACGCCCGTGTCCTACTCCATGATGAGAGCATATACCGATTTGAATGTGTAAGTATCATTTTATGCAGTTTCTGATGATATCCATGCCTCAAAAATTTCTTGTGTTCTCCTGTACATGTGGCAAAATGATAGCTCTTGTCTTATCTACTACAAATATTTCAGTTGTAGTGTACTGTTGGCAATTCATCATGCTTTTTGTGAATGATACTGATTAGTTTGTGATGTCAATGTCAGTGCTCGAGTCCGACAAGGTTATCTATTCAGCTTATGGAATATGGTCACGAAAAGCCAGAAGTGACTGCAGTATCAATTGATCCAAATTTTTCTTCGTATCTTTTTAGCGAGTATTTGTGTAGTATGTCAGACAAGAAATTATCTGAAGGCGTCTACCTTGGAAGGTATCTTTTTCCAACCACAGTGAAGCTCCTGATTCCATTTCCCTTGTTTGTTCCTGATCGTGTGCTTCTCTTCCAGGAATAAGCGGAAATATTCAAATAATGATGAACCTTCAGATTCTTTGAAGGCAATGGATGGTATCAAAGTTGTGAATGGTCTTGAATGCAAGATATCCTGCAAGACCTCTAAGGTATGCAATCTTGTTTCGGCTGGACATTCCATCTCAGGCTTTATTGTAGTTGAGAATAAAGCATATCTGGCAATGCCATGGATGCAGGTCTCATATGTCCTTGATACTGAAGATTTCTTGTTCCGGCTTCGGAAGAGACGGAAAATTTTGCGGGGTGGGAATGTGCCCGACAGTTCGCAGATTTCGAAAATATATGCTGCAAAAGTGCAGCGCTTCAATAGGTTCCTATCCAAACCATAGGATCATTTGGCATACAAATGGTAATTCAAATAGCTTCCATAAAGATTGCATCATGCTGTTCTAGGCTCAGTTTTAGCATTTTTTGTTTGTTTCAGACAAGAGCTTGCTATCTATAACAGTCCATTGCCTTTTCACCCTTGCAGTATCGAAACCTGGAGATATTGCTGGGGTCCCAGCTGCTTCGCTTGAACAATGATTCCATCGACAATTCGTCGCAGAGTGCCCTTTTGGAATAACAGATGGGAAGACATATATAGGGTAAATACAGCAAAGCGAAGCGAGCATGTAGGCCACAGCAGAAGCTCTGTTGTGCCTAAAGATGTGTATATATGTATTAGCAGCATGTTGTTTGTTCTGATTACCTTTTTACTGGTTTTCGATGGTAGGTCTATTCCATTAAGTATTTAACTAATCATCATTTGTTGCTGTTGGTATAGGTCTTCTGTTTTTTTTTTTTTTTGCCGTCGTTTTGCATTGAAGATATGTAGCCAAAGTTAAAACCTGTGTCAAACAGCTTTGTAGTCTTGGCTTGGTTAATCAAACAGACACCGTAATTTCTTAGAGCCTCTTGCCTGAGGTGCATTTCCACCCTTCATTTTAGAGGCGTTGATGCCACCTATATATCTCTTGTGTGCATCCAATGCAATCCAAGTATACGATGTTTCTTGGTGTTATGTGCAAAATCAGTACACGTTTTAGCCACTATTTTTGCTATAGGAATATATCCTTAAAATCTAGAGAATGTGTAAACCGTTTAAGTATCCCTTCAAATATAGCCACAATGTGTTTCTTCTTGATGTTTTGGCACTGCATATTTGGAAGCCATTGGAGATTTGTCTTCTAAATCATCGTTTCTGACTGCTGTAGTGGGTGATGCGTGCCTGTGGTGGTGTTGCCTTTGGCGTGGCTGCGTGGGTGCATGAGTTGGTTGGCCGGACAGTCGGGTGCAACTGGGCTGCACAGTAGGTAGGATCTGCCGGGTGGCTCTCATGGGCCTTCTTCGACTTTTTTTTTTTGAAACTGCCTTCTTCGACTTTGCGTCGAGCCCAGCGGTGCTCCGTGAGTGCAGCCACACCAAACTCCCTCGCCTTTTCTAATAAAGGGGCGTACCCAGGGTAGAGAGCTCCAGCTCATTTTCGTTTGTGTAATGTGAGGAGACCGGGACTCGAACCCGAGACCTTCCGGTCACAGGCGGTAAGACTCTACCGCTTGTACTAGATCCACCCTTCTCGCGTTTTCTAATAAAAAAAAGAAAAAAGGCTCTTACGTGAGAGTGCTTTTGGCTGGCAAAACAGGAAGCCACACCAAAGTGCTTCTGGTTGGCAAAACACGAAGCCACGCCAAATGCTGTCGTGTGGACCCCAGTGGTGCCATGAGTGCTCACCACATTTTTTTTACAGATGCTCACAAACCATGTTCACCTCTTAGAACGCACACACGCAAACCCTATCTCTATGAACATCTTTGAAGATTGAATCGACTATTGACGCCGATTTGGGTCACACACTTACACACACGTGGGGGCTAGATTGCCCAGAGGCTGCAAATGAAGGGAGGTCCTAACTGCGAAGGCCGAACAGCAGGGCAAGTTCTTTGTCTGATAAACCTATGAACACCTCCCGAGAAGACTCGTCGGGAAATACGCGGTGGGGGTGTTCTAGGACCGACAAGGCCACCTAGAACACCCACAAATCCGGTCAAGGGCGTGTAGCACAATAAGGGGGTCGAAAGAGAGATAATATAATAAGGGGTAACAAGTGGATATATTTATAATAGATCGATTGTGTAGTTGGCTACCTTAATCGGATTTGTACCCCATATTTTATATGAAGTAGGCGTGGTCTTATTCCGTTGAAAAACCAATGTGGTACTATTTTCAGGTCGTTTGATATAATTTTTCTTAGATTGGACAAAAACTGCATGGGCAGATTGTTAAACCAGTGTAGGCCTAATTTGACTGTCAACACCGGTAAATACTCAAGACGAGATTGACGAAATCATCATAGGCGTCTTGCTATCGACAGGAAGGAATACCGTCACTAAAAACACAAAGCCGTTAAATCGTAGAACATTCGCTCTTACGGGGAGTCATATCCAAAATCTCATAGAGACTATTGAGGCTCTTGTAACCGATAGACACTCTTGTAACGACTCCAACGACGGGAACCCAAACATGAGACCCATTTCACATTTTAGGTAACGCACAGTGAAAATGTTACCTACCCATAACTTCACCTCTCCAACGGACGCCCCAAGCCCCAAATCTCTCTCGTTCTGTACTTCTCTCCCAACCACGCTGAAGGAAGACGGTGGTGGCAATGGCCGAAGGTGCGGCAAGTAGAAGAGCGAGCGACAGGCGGGCGCGGGGGCTGCGCCTCCTCAAGGCTTGGGTGGCGAGCTCTCCTCCTCCCTCACGAAAGCAAGAGGCCCTGGCCATGAAGCTCTTGACCATGGGCCGGCGAGATCTGTGCACGCATGCAGCGGTGGCCCCCTGAAAGCCCTAGTTTGGTTTTGGTTAATTGATGAAACCCTAAGTGCTAACCTAGTTTATCAAAGTGATTATGAGATAGGTAGCACTACTCCAAGTGATGAAGAAATGGCGAAGATCATGACGATGGTAATGGCATGGTGATGATCAAATGCTTAAACTTAGAAAAGAAGAAAGAGAAAAACAAAAGGCTCAAGGCAAATGTATAAACTGTAGGAGCCATTTTGTTTTAGTGATCGAGGCACTTAGCGAGTGTGATCACATTTAGGATAGATAACCGTACTATTAAGAGGAGTGAAACTCGTATCGAAATACGGTTGTCAAAGTGCCACTAGATGTTCTAACTCATTGCATATGCATTTATGATCTAGTGGATCACTAACACCCTTGAAAATGTTTGTGAAAATATGCTAACACATGTGCACAAGGTGATACACTTGGTGGCTAGCACATTTAAGCAAGGGTGAAGGAGATAGAGAAGAAAGGAACTCAGTCTCACTGTTTTCACTGTGACCGGATGCTGGTCTTGGGTGGACCGGCGCGTCCGGTCAGGCGTGGCAGAGAAGACGCCAGTGTCGGTGATGCACCGGACGCTGGGTCTAAATTGACCAGACGCTAAATGTCTGGGTCCGGTCGAACTGACGAGTCAGCACTGTGTCTAGGATATTACACCGGACGCTGTTCTGTGTCCGGTCGAGGAGGACCGGACGCGTCCGATCGAAGAAAACCCGGTTTGGGACCTTACTGTAAACGACCGGACGCTGGGGTTGAGCAACCGGTCAGTTTTGCCAGAGCGTCCAGTCAGAATATAGCCGTTGTGATCTGGCGGCTTGGTTTGAAATCAGAATGACACGTGACTTACATCTGTGGACCGGACGCTGGTCCAGGGTCCGATCAGAATGATCGGTGCGTCCGGTCAGCACGCGTTTTGCCCAGTGAAGAGGTATAACGGCTCTATTTCATGGGGGCTTCTATTTAAGCCCCTTGGCCGGCTCAAGCTCACCATCCAGCACATTTCATGAACCTAGCATACTTGTGAGCTTAGCAAAAGTCCTCCCGCTCATCTTCATCATTGATCCATCATCATTGTGAGATTGGGAGAGAATCCAAGTGCATTGCTTGAGGGATTGCATCTAGAGGCACTTGGCATTCGTGTTGCGCTGCGGATTTCGCTTGTTTCTCTTGGTGGTTGCCACCACCTAGACGGCTTGGAGCAGCGGTGGAGGATTGGCACGAGTTAGTGATTGTTCGTGGCCATCTCCGGTGATTGTAAGGGGAGTTGTACCTTCCCCGGCGGAGTGCCGAAAGGTAACTCTAGTAAAATGCTCGTGTCATTGAGTTACCTCACTTGTGGGTCGGTTCTTGCGGTGTCCTATCGTGTGGACGAGGTTTGTGAAACACCTCTTAGCCGCCGAACCACCAAGTGTTGGTCGACACAACGGGGACGTAGCGTGTTGGCAAGCACGTGAACCTCGGGAGAAAATCGAGTGTCTCTTGTCTTTGGCATTCTCCCGGTGATTGGATATATATATTCATCTTGTGATTGGTTCATCCCCTACACGGCGGTATAATCACCCTACTCACTTATTTACTTTCTTGCAAACTAGTTGATACAAGCTCTTTAGTGTAATTAGAATTGAGAGCTTGCTTCATTATTTACATTCATCTAGTTGAGCTCTTTAGAGTAGCAAGATTGAGAGCTCTTAGTGAGTAGTTACATAGCAAGTTTGTGTGCCTAAGTAATCATTGCAACTAGAATTGTTGGATAAGTGGCTTGCAACCCTTGTAGAGCTAGAGCAAGTTTGCATTACGTCATTTGTCATACTAATCAAATTGCTCTAGTTGATTTGTAGTTTTCAAATAGGCTATTCACCCCCCCCCTCTAGCCATATTAGGACCTTTCAAGTGGTATCAGAGACGTGGTCACCGTGTGATTTAAGGCTTAACAACCTCGGTGTCAAATTATGGCTCAAGTTGTGTTCAATCATATGGGGGGCAAACCACCTTTCTTTGATGGCACAAGCTATGGTTATTGGAAGAGAAAGATAAGGGTGTATCTTGGTTCAATCAATGATCAAGTATGGGATGTAACCGAGAATGATTATGCTATCATTGATCCCGATAATCCCACCAACCAAGATAAGTCCAACAAGCAATGCAATACAATGACCCTCAACACCTTACACAATGCCATTGATCCAAAGGTGTTTGAGCAAATCAAGGATTGTGAAAGAGCAAATGAAGTGTGGAGGAGATTGGAGGAAACATATGAGGGCACACCGGCGGTGAAGAGTGCCAAGTTGTATATTCTCAAAGACAAGTTGACAAGCTTCAAGATGAAGGAAGATGAGAGCATTCTGGAGATGTTCCATCGATTACAAGTGATTGTCAATGACTTGAAGGCCTTGGGAGAGAAGATCAAGGATGATGATGTCTCTCATCGATTCTTGATGTGCCTACCTCCAAGGTTTGAGATGTTGAGATTGCTTATCATAGGAGGAGGATTAAAGGA